AGCAGAGTCACAGTGGTAGAAAAACCCTCATTTTCCCATTTTGCCTTGGCTTTTGTGCCGCTTTCTGGGTGTTGGTGGGACCAGAGCTCTGGCAGTGGCATGCTGGTTGGTGGTTGGATTTCTTTTCTCTGCTATGTTTCAAGAGCTGGCTATGCCAGGGAAAGACTCCAGCTCTGACTTCTTCAAACCTGTTACATTCTGAGAAGTGCTCAGAGAGTTTGGCCTTGGGATGACCTGCATCCAAACTCCTACTCCACTACTTACTGGTGGTGTGCCTTGAACAAATGACCTAAACCCAATGATAGTGTCTTTTCATCCGTAATGTGACAGTAAAATGCCTACCTGTTTTGGTCGGTAGAGGCTTGGAGAAAGTAAAAGTACTGTGCTTAGAAACCAACTGGCACAAAATTGTGTGCTCAGTAAATGTTGATGGTGGCACTATAATGGTCCTCATCCAAATAGTTAATATAATAATGTTATAGTCTTGATATTGTGGTTGATGCAGAATGAATGAAGAATGGGGGTGGGGGCTGGACTGAATCGTCCATTCTAACCCCATGCTTTTGCAACTTCATTTATTAGGCATGAAATTAATTACCTGTGTGACTTCAGGGAAGTTTCTTTCCTTTTCAATGCTTCTATTTAGCAATTATAAAATAAAAACATGGGACTGTATGAGGGTAGCAAGTAGGTTTAATCTCATATGTCGACTTCAGTTGATTAGTGATGGATATGTAGAAAACAGTCTTAAAAGGGTTCTGAGCCCTCCCTAACTGGTATGGCTCAGTGGGTTGAGCATTGTCCCCCCAAATAAAAGGTTGTTGGTTTGATTCCTGGTCAGTGCACACACCTGGGTTGTGGGCACACATGAGACAACTGATCAATGTTTCTCTCACACATTGATGATTCTTTCTCTCTCTTTCTCCATCACTTCCCCTCTCTCTAAAATAAATAGTCTTTAAAAAAAGGATTCTGAGCCCTCGGCTGAGCTCAGTAGGTATGTTTTCTGTCATCTATTAGCAATATTTGAAGTGGGTAGGAGGTTAGCCACAGGTATTCTGAAATTTACCTGACACAGACTAAATGCTTTCCAGGGACCTCCCCAATTTTCAATCCTCTGGCTCTTTTCTGGGTCTTCTTGGTGGTCCTTTGTAATTGTGTGACATCTTATTCACCCAAATGAATATTCAGGGTCATCAGAGTGAAGAGTAGGTAAGGATAGCTCCGTCAAGAACCAAAAGGGAGACTGGTGGATTGTGAAGCTGCTTTCCTGAATGGGATGAGGGTTTCTTTGAGACCTCATTGCAATCTGAGCAAATTTGAGCATTAAAAAAAAAGAAAGCATTTTCATCAGAAGGGAAAGCAGGATAGTTCCCTGGAAGTTGCATGCATAACTCACAACTCAGTGATGCCATGTGGGATTGCATATCATTTGCTGGTAGGTTACTATCTAGTAGCATTTAGCAATGGACATGCTGGTGGGTTTGGCCAAGTTGGAAACATTTATTTCTAGATCTGCAACAGAAAGTTATAGCTTTCTAACAGTGGTTTCATTATATTGATGCATGCTACAGATAGATTTTTTTAGATATTGCTTTAGCCACTTCCTTTGATATATTAGGGTCTGAGACCCAGAGTGTCTTATTTCTGGGATAACTGTTAACTCACATAATGGGACTGGACTTTCATGGATCTTTAGGAGGAAATACTGTGAATCACTTTTCAGTCTTCCATTTTTCTAAGGGGAAAATAGAACACCCAGTTGCCCTTTGACATGTTATCCTCTTAAGCAGAAGATTCTCTCTACAGAAGCAGGGACTTCTGCCTTAATTTTAAAAGCTTTTCAGGTATCGATCTGACACTACATCTTCTTCCTCTACAATCTCCGTGGCATGGGCGTTCTTCACACTCCCTCCTCACAGGCCTCACTCCAGGCAGCTACAGGCATCCATTGGGTCCTGTTCTGGTGAATCTGTGACTTCTGCCAAGGCAAAAATCACTAGTCTATAGTCATACTGTTCTGGTAAATATGGTGAAAAAATTACATTTTAGGTGGTTTTCTCAGAAATGATCAACACTAAATGTGATTTTTGCTCACCATGTACCCTCCACAAGACTCCTGATGGAAGGCCATTTTTATTGGGGAATCTATGAATATGACAAGACAGCAGCAACAAACAGCTGAAAGTAATCTGTGAGGCGTTTGCAAATTACCCCTCATGAGCTGCAGTGGTTGTGAAAGATAATTTGTGGTTCTCTCAGAATACCCTGCAAATTGGGTCTTTCATCTGCGTTGTTTTTTATGGTTAAAACATTTCATTTCTCATATTAACAAATGATAACTCTGTATTTGTTAATCTAAACAATTTGATTTATATTTTTTTCTGTGCTGAAAAGCTGTTGACATTTCAGGGTGAGTAATTATTTTCATTGCCAACTGGTGTTTGTGGTGATTGTAGGCAAAAGATAGAAATCTGAATACACATATGTACCATTTTAATCATTTTCCTTGAGGACTATTTATAAAGCGGGCATCTATTTGCCTGAGTTCACCCATACCTGGAAACCTTATAGGACATGGGTGTTGACGAGTGAAGGCTGTAGCCACATTCAGGGTTTTCTGTGGTGCAGTGGATGCTCTCATGTGATCACTGTGGGCAGGGGGCGGGACTGACCTTCAGTGTCGCCGAATCACGGGCAGAGACCTGTTCACTGGTGGTCTGAAATCGCAGTAGCGAGAGGAAGCATGCACTGTTGGCCTCAGTAGTTCCCAGCTTATGTAATATCTGTTCAAACATCTCACAGGGTAGTTGCCAGGATTACATGACAAATGCTCATGAGAATGCCTCTCACTATGCTTGGTACGTAGTGCGAGCTCTGGAAACATTTGGTGAAGTGGGGACGACATATAAAAAGATCTAAACTTCCTTTCTCATATTGCTTTCTTGGCCACGGACTCACAGTCCAGGGCAAGGGGCAGAAGGAGACCGGGTGCTCAGCCTTGCCCACTGCCGTGGTGCACCAGACAGAGCGGAAAGGAAGTACCAGGACGGGGATGGAACAGACGTCTTTCTCTGGCATCTCTTTTTGATCTTAGAATCCATGCTAATTTTTCAACCTACTATTTAATGTATCCAGGTTTATTTTAATATTCAAGAAAAATTAACATCAAAGTTTATACTTTTCTCCTGAAAAAATCATTTCACAAAATTGCTGCTCCAAAAAGGTGGCCCTTCATTAGCTTGTGGGTGTGTGGGGGGGCCCACACTGGTTGTGAAGCACCGTGGGCAGGGGTAGATGGCCTCTGGGATGATTAGGGGCACGTTGGCATGTGTCCTGCAGAGTAGGCTGTGGTAGGTTCATGGTCTGTTTTCCTCGGCCCTGTACACTGTTGGGCAAAGCTCTGGCCACACTAGACGGAGACAATTCTCCTGCATGTGCAGACCTCCCATTCGCATTTCAGGTCAGGGAATAGACTACTGACTTAGGACTCAACCTAATTTTTACATGTCCTGAGGAAGTGAATGTAGAGCCTGTACCCTGAATGGCAAATATATTTTATCCTTTGAACCAACTTTGGTTGATTAGTTCTGGTTGCCTACAGAGCTGTCTTAAGAAGGCATCTGTGGTGCATTGAGGCTCAGCTTGGGAGAGTGCTGGGATTGATGAGCAATGTCTGTTAAGGCCTCTAGAGGAATAGCTTGCTCTATACTTGCCATTGTCTTCTTTTGACATGTCCTTAACTCTTCTGTGTAAAGTGATTTCAATACTAACGGGTGACTAAGTATGAGACAGGGCATTGTGAGAGAGAGCAGGTAGATTCCGCTTTAAGAAAACCTGGCATGAGAAAATGCAAATTTACAAAATGCATAAATCTGGAGCCAATTATTGTCATTACAGAAAGATTCCATGAAAGGTTCCTTTAAATAGTGAGCTCCCCCACTGCATTAAAATGATGATTCAATTTACAGAAATTCACTTTGCATGCAGCTCTTCAGGACCGTGTCTGTGGAGGAAAGCAAGCCACACCTGATTTTTTTAAACCACGGCCTAAATGCTGTTCAGGACGGCTGCTGCCACATCTCTCTAGTCTCTTGATAATTTCCACTCTCTTCAGACTTCCTTCCTACTTCCTCTCTCTGAGTGTTGAGTAGACAATCTGGGTGGTGGTCAACAGCTGCTGGCTTCCACCCTGCCGCGGCTGCATTTCATTAGTGGGTAAACTGATTGCTCTGCGTATGTTTACGTGTGGGTGTGGTTGTACGAGTCTGTGCACTCTGTGCACTGTGGCTGTAGATGCAGATACACACAAGCCATTATCTCACTCCCAGCCCACCCTAAATTTATTCCTGCTGTGAGTTATAAATGGAAGGTTCCAATCGCCTGCTGGATATGGCCTTCCAATAATATGTGCCCCGAATTCTGGCTCCCCGTCTTCTTTGTGTTTGTTTATATGTTACTTACCCTTGCATCAAAAAACTTCTCCAGACCCCAGGCCTGAGTCCCATTATCCAGACACGAAACCCTCCTCTTCCTCTGTGGCCTAGAAAGCCCCAAATGGTTTTCTGATTTAGAAAATTAAATATAATCTGACTCTTGTGGCAAGCTATGAAATTCCCGACCAACAGACGCTCCCATTAAATATATAACATACACAACATCTAAAAGTATTACCAATCTAGCATGAACTTGAATTATAGAGGCATTCAGTGCCCCTTGGGTAAGATCACCAGCTTCTTCCCAGGCACTCACAATTGGGCAATTTTCCAGTGGACCATAAAGCTCCCAGGAATGCTGACTGGCACACGTGTTTGAATTTCTGTGCTCTGGAAAAGTAACTTAATGCAGGGAAGGGTGTCTTAAAGAGATGGTATCCCCTTTTCTCTGTGCATGGCCTTCTCCCACATAGAATAATTCCAATAATTTTGCCAGCACAGAACACAAGTATCAACTCTATTTCATTATGGTATTTAAAAAATCTCAACATACATTTCTTCCCAGGAATATTTATTTTTAACAGACATACCTCTTTTTCTTTTTCTTTTTTTACTTTTGGAAAAGGCAAAATGAGGCAGCAGTAACAGTGAACATATTGGCCCTACTCAGACATGGTCTTCTGGCCTAAAGTGATAATTCACTTTGAGATGAAAGTTCTCATGCTGGTGAGCTGTCAAACAGCTCTTTTCCTTCTGTCTTCTCGGCCTCATTGGTTTGAGCCAAGGGTCCCCCACGGTACTGGGCTGTGATAGCTGCATAGGTACAGCCGTAGATGGCAGCCACCAACATCATGAGACACAGGATCCCACACGCAACCCCAGTGATGATAACAGTGACCACAGCGTGACGCAGATTAGTCGGCCTGGGCTTGGGTTTGAGCTCACACTCAGAGTGGTCTCGCTCCTCCATGCTGTGGCTCTCAGGAGGCCTCGAGACAGCCCAGTGGGCTGAAGCCAGCTGCTGCACCTGGGAGGACTCCAGATCTGCAGAAGGGAAAGGGCAGGGCTGGTATAGCTCATGAGGGATTTTAAGGAGGTCCTTTCCCTTCCAGGTGTCCGGTGATGCACAGATAATACTGTCCGTTACTCCCCCTTTAAAAAAACAGAAGCAAAGGATGGTCATAGAGTCTGATACAACTGAATTCCAAAATCCTCAGTCTGTGAAATTGAGGCAGATGGAATTTATAAAGCACCTTTTATTTTTCTGGAGTCAAAGAACTTAACAACCATATTTTATGATTTTAGGATTTCTAAATTGGCCAAATGCTAAAAATGCCACACACAAAATTGGCAATTATGTATGACCAAAAATTCATTGAAAGCCTGGTCACCTTTACCTGATAAATGCTGAGGCAAAAGCAATTCAAAAGCTGACAAGAAGGGGCTTTCCTGAGGCCAACCCGAGGGCTCTCACACCCCTAATGAACCCCCTATATAAGAAAACCTATTGTACTAAGTTCCCACTGGAAATGCAAAAAAAAAAAAAGATAAAATAAAATAAAACAAACATCCTTTGTTGCGATGTTATGTGTTAATTACCAAGACCCTATGTGACTGGCAATACTCTTCAGTGATGCTAACTGGGAGGTCATGGTCTTTGAGTGTCATGCGTATCTGAAGATTTGGCAATAATATGAGCTAAATTCATGGGATTATGTACAATTAACTTGTCTGAGGCCTTAAAACATTTAGTACTTTGAGTACTGAACTTTCCAGTGGATTATTAGGCCCAGTTTCTATTCTCTGTAAGGCAATTGATTTCCTCAGGTACGTGGACTATGTAGAGGATTTGGGTACCTAGTAATTATTTTCGAGAAAGAGCACTGGGCTGACAGATTCTGTCCTGGCCAAGTTTGACCACCAATTTACTCTTTGACCTCAGGCAAATAAACTTCACTGACTGAATTTTTGCCATTAAAAACATCATGTTGGATACATCAAGTTGTATCCAACTTGATAGTTTATAAAGCGCTGTTAGATTTGTCCTGCCAACCCTGCTATAGTGGGTATTTCTTGTCCAAGGTCACCCAGGTCAAAAGTGGACGGAACCATATCCACACCCAGTTCACTCCCTTGATCCCAGTTTTTCCCACTGTGCTCAGTATCTGTTTCTACTTCCTGCTCTCTCTATTTTCTCCTTTCTGGAGTGTCCTGAGCTCAGCCGAGCTAACACAATGACCCTCAGTAAAGTTCTTTGCCTGGGCAGAGCCCAACCCCTGTGACCTTGGCTGCCATAAACTTGGACCCCAGGATGGCTGTGGAGCCTGGCACCACTCTTAGCCAAGTTAGATTGGAGATTCTTTGTATGTATTGTTAGGTGAACCATGAAATAATAGCAGAAAGGCATGAGCGGGAGGTCTCCACTTCAGTGTTAGTTGAACTCTCTCTTGCTTTCCACAGCACTGCAGAATTTGGGGAGTGCCTTTACATCCATTCTATCTGAGCCTTATACACAAAGTTCTATGTGGTCCCATTAGTAATTGGGGCTGTTCTGCAGTACATGGGTCATCTGTCCCAGGTCCCATTGGGGTTAGTGGCTATGGCAAAATTCACCTCACTCCTTTTTTGCTAGTACTGCTTGAAACTGAATCTGAAACTACTAGTCTCTTGGGCCCTTCCTAGCTTCTCCAGTGATCTCCTAAGGCAAGAGCCCCAACTCCAAAACAAAAAAAAATTACAGGGGAATTTTCTCTTTTTCTGAACTGCTGTGTGAGAGACCAGGAATACAGGATGGCTACTCCAGAGGAACCCAGGGTGCCACCAAACTGCACCATGATGAAAAATCCCTGCCTCATGGACCATTTTATGCTGTGCCCTAGAGCTTGTTGGAAGGCCAGAGAGATAGAAATGAAGTGTGGGGCTTTGAGAAGAAGTAATGACACTCAGCCTGGCCAAAGAGCACTGAGACTTCTACCAGGGGAGGAAAACCCACCTCCCAAAGTTACCAGCAGTTCCATCAGCTAGCTTATTCCAAGACTGGGGTGGGTCACCCAGTTTCTCCAGGCTTAAGCACTGTCTTTCTCCAGTTCCAAGCTTCCTTCTGCTTAATGGTAGAGTGGGAGGCATGGCCTTGGGACCCAGCGGTGAGTAAATACACAGACTAGAGCCTGGGACATGGCTTGAAGGCAGGAGTTGTGGCCACCAAGAGCTCCATGGTCTCCTGTGCAGCTGTGTCTGCAACCTGGATTGACCTCCCAGCCTTCCACCCCAGAAGGCAAGTCTGCTGATGATAGTTGAGGGTCCCACACCCTTCTAGATTCATGGAAGCTGACAAAGCAAGAAGCCCTGGCTTGTGAAGCACTCATTACCCCCCATATGGCCACTAGTAATTCTTAACCACTGTCTTGGAAGAAATTTGATATAAATATTGAGTCTGACCATTTCTTTGCTGTGCAATGCTAAACAAATTACTTGACCATTCTGTGCATCTGACTGCTCATCGGGAAAGTGGGAGGGGGAAATAATGAAGTTCACCTCACAGGGACTCAGTTGGATAATGTCAAGTATTTAGCACAATACCTAGCCCCAAATAAATGTTTTATACAGTTAGCTATTGGCATAAAGATGATCTATTACTTGTGAATGGAGAGAGAGGAATACTAATTACAAAATATGTGCCCATGTTTTTGTGGAGGAGACATTATTAAGTATTCACCAGAGCATGTGTTTCAGCTGTTGGGCCCACAGGAAGATGAAATTTCTTTACCCTTTGTGGTCAGGTTGGGACCATGTGACAGTTCTGGCCACTGGAACCAGTGAATGTCACTTCTAGGCCACAAAGCTCCCTTAATCCTCCAAGTACTTTATTCCCATTTGGTGTTAACCATAGTGGCCATGAAGTCACATTGGCAATGTCAAAAGCGGGAAGGGGCTTAAGTCCTTGAATGATTGCATAGACCCCAGTTGCCCTGGACTCTGACACAAGTGGTTTTTATCTTGTACATCACTGAGGTAGCCTGTCCTTACTAATACTGCTGGGGTTTCTATCTGTTTATGTATCGTGTTGTAAATGAGGTCTTGGCCAATACCGAGTCCCTTATTTTACCTTTAGTCGATACATCAGTAGTCAGATTGTCTCCAACATTTAGCATCTGTTTGGTTTTTTTCCTAGTTATTTTGGGCCACCCAGTTTTTGTGATCCCAAATCAATTTGACCTTCCACAGAAAGGCTGTTGTCTGTGCTGGACAGCTCTGCAGGAGGGAGCATTGAACGGAGTGAGTCAGGAATCTGAGGACCAGGTCAGGTTTTGGGAAATTTTTAGCTTTACACTGTCAGTGTCCACCTGGTGACCCCAAGAGCTGGTGATGGGCATGGCTGTCAAAGGTCACCAGTGAGTTTGTGACAGAGTACAGGGAGCTCCACTCCATTCTATGTTCCTTCTAATGTACTGGACCTAGGAACTATTTTTTTTTTTTTTGGTCAAGAAGACACCTTACAGGCAAGAACAGGCTGGAAAGAGGTATTCCAAGTCATGAAATCTAAAGATCTACAACCAAGATTGCTCTATCCAGCAAAACTTTCATTCAGAATGGAAGGACAGATAAAGTGCTTCTCAGATAAGATCAAATTCAAGGAGTTCATCATCACCAAGCCCTTATTATGTGAAATGTTAAAGGGACTTACCTAAGAAAAAGAAGTTAAAAAAGCATGAACAGTGAAAGGACAGCAAAGTCACAGTTATTAACAACCATACCTAAAACAAAAGAAAACTAAGAGGACAGCTAGATCAGGAGTGGAAACATAGAAATGAAGATCTCAAGGAGGGTTAGCAACAGGGGAGTGGGAGGAGGAGAAGGGGGGAGAAGTACAGAAAATAAGTAGCATAGACAGTAGATAGAAAATAGATGGGGGCAAAAATAGTATGGGAAATATAGAATCTAAAGAACTTGAGACACATGGTCATAAACTAAAGGGGGGGTAATGGTGGGGACGGGAGGGTAGGGTGAAGGGGTATGAAGGGGGGAATAAAACAACTGTAATGGCATAATCAATAAAAAAAGAAAAAAGAAATCTTCTTTGATCAAAACTATTTTTTTGATGATTTGACTTATGCTTACCATTTAGTCTAAAACACAATAGCTGAAGACACCTAGAGGTGCAAAGTTTTATTTACAACCTCTTATAAGAAAGTTTTTTGCCACAGAATATAGCCCTCATTGTAGGTCAACTTCAGGATTAGCTGTGTAGTGATAAGCTGCCTCATACTACTGAGAGGGATTCTCAACTCAGCATTGTGTCCTTGAACACATGTCGTGCTCCAACTCACTTCCTCCTGTGTAGCTGCTGCCACCCTCCGGGCTCTGCTGGTTCATGTGTGCAGCTCTGATATCCTCCTGAATTATAGGCTCGCACGCACATCCACCAATGCAACAGCTCCCCTTGATATGAAATGGCCATCTCAAAGTTGACCTTCCTCAAACTGAAGCCTTATTTACCACCTCACACACACACACTCGCTCACTTTGCCCTCCCCCCACCCTGCAGTCTGCCCCTTACCAGCAATCCTCCATTTATCCAGTTACTCCTGCAGGACAAAAAATTTGAACTTCCCACGATTGCTCTCTTTTCTTTACCTCTAAGTCCACCCTATTAGCAATTTCTGTCAGTTCAATATTTCAAACAGCTGCCAATGTTTGATCCCTTCTCAGCACCCTGGTTTGGGCCACTACAATCTCTTTCCTGGGTGAATGAAATTACTTTCTCCTCGTTCCCCTCCTTAGTTGGCAGTGTCTGGTCTGGTCAGCTGTCCCTAGAGTCAACAGAGTGACCTTTTAAATTGTAATCAGATCATATTGTTCCGCTAACTAAAATGCAAGAGCTTTTGATCTCACCTAAAATAAAATCCAAATGTCTCACCCTGCTCTGCACCTTCCTACATGACTCAGCCCCTGAGTGCTTGTGCTGCCTTATCTCTGTCTGCTCTTTCTCTCCCTTTCTCTGCTCCAGATGCCCTCTTGCTCTTCAGTCAAGCCGAGCTTACTCCCCTGTCAGGCCCACTGCCCTTGCTGTTCTTTCCCTCAGTGGCTCTTTTCTCCTGCCCAGGTTCTGCTCCCCCGTGTCATCTCCTTGAATAGGTCTTCCCTGGCCTTCCCGTCTAAAGTGGAACCCCCATCCCATCACCACTTCTCCCCTACCCCTGCCTCACTCTTTCCCTAGCACAAATTGCTTTCCGAATATGGATATTTACCTTATTCAACGTCTGTTTCTCTACTGCCAGAATTCAACCTTTGTGGTGACAGGGATTTTCTTGTTGAATGACCTTTTCTCAGTGCCTAGAAAAGTGGCTGGCATATAAGAGGCACTCAAATATAGCAATGAATGAATGAACCACTGTGATGGAGAGGAAAGGACATAGGGCCAAGACGCAAAATCCATTCATTCTGTTCTCATCTGAATTTTACTCTGTCATCTTGGGCAAATTGCTGAACCTCTCTGTGCTTCCATTTCTCATCAATAACAATCTAATATTGAGTCAGAAGGGGTTGGCAAAGTTTTCTATAAAGGACCAGATAGTTAATATTTTAAGCTTTGCCATATATATCAAAACTATTCAAGTTTACCCTTATATTGTAAGACAGTCACAAAGAATACATAATAAATGGGCATTGATGTGTTCTAATAAAACTTTCTTTACCAAAACAGGAGGTGGGCAGGATTTGGCCCTTGGACTATTGTTTGCTGACTCCTGAGTGATTCCCAGAGCCCCTCATATTTAATATTCTAGGATCTCTTGCTTCGATTTGACATCTGGTTAAAGAAATGGTAACCTTAGAGAAGGCTCCCTATTGCATCTAACTTCAAAAACTGGTACTTGCTAAGGCAAAAGGATAATTTTAGAGAAAATTTATAGCTGTCAAAGGGGTAAAGGCAGATAGAGAAGGAGACGAGTTGCAAGGAGAGATGCCATGCTCCAGGTGGATCATACTTGAGAACAGAATTTGATGCCACTGTGGAATTTAGCCATTATTCAGATGGAGATCAAATTTCCCTCCTTCTTAAGAGCCTACAGTTTCCAGATAAATAATTTAATGTTGTTGTCATTCAAAAAGTGGAAAGTAATCTCCATGAACCATATTTGTAGGTGAATTTAAATACCTGAATTTAAACACCCTTTAATGACTTGCTTGCTTCTTTTTCCACACTGTAAAGTGATGTCAATGTGAAAAAACAAAATTATGCTGGCCCGTTACACACACCTCAATGTGCTTTCTAATGCAGAGAACAGATGAGCTTCGCCCTACTGACACACAGGTGGAGGTTTCCAAACAGATGTTACTGACCTTTATAGATAAATTTCTCCAGCCAGAGTTTAAGACCAAACAAGTGGCAATTGCATTTCCAGAGGTTGTCCTTGAGAAATAAAACCTTTACACTGGGCATGGATTCCAGGATCCCTCGATCCAGCCGCTGAAGCCGGTTTTGTTGGACTGCAAATACAGTTAGGTTCTCCCAACGCTCACCCAGGGAGGTGGGAAGGTGGCTGATGTTGTTGGATGACAAATCAAGCTCCCTCAGCTGTGAGAGGGAATGGAAATGTCTGCTTTCAAGGGAATGCAGGGAGTTCTGGGTTAAGTTTAAGACCTGCAAGTGCTGAAGTCCATGGAAAGCTCCAGGGGCCAGGTTTGAAAGGGAATTGTTGCGCAAGTTCAAGGTCCTGAGCTGTGGTACCGACCTAAATGCAAAAGCAGGAAGCTGGTGTATCTGGTTATCTTGTAAATGCAGCGTTAGAGTCTGAGGAGGCAAATTGGGAGGAATTTCAGCCAGACCTTGCTGGCTGCAGTCTACAGAATTTGAGGTGGAGTGACAGTGGCACTTCTCTGGGCAGCTGTACACCATCCGGAGCAGGAAAATCACACTTGAAAGCAGGAGCAGTTCACCTATGACAAACAGAAAGCAACTGAGATGGGAATCAGTTTGTAAGTGGCACACTCATTTCTTCTCCCTTGAAATCACAGGTAATGCAATTCTGAGCCAGCTAACCCCTTCCACACCATGGAGGAGAGGTTCTGAAGGAGAGATTCTATTGTTTATCATCTTTCCTAGAGTTGGCCTAGACCGAGTATATCCCCAGTGTCAGTATGCTGTAAAAGTATGCTCCAGATCAATACAGTCCATTAGAACTTTCTGTGGTGATGGAAACCGTCTGTATCTGATGTCCATTATGGTAGCCGCTGTCTATGTGTGGCTACTGGGCTCTGCAATGTGACACTCATAGTCCAGAAAATGGACTGTTACTTGCATTTAACTTTAATTGATTTAAATGCAAAGGTCTCATGGTGCCATGGGTAGCATATTGGATAGGGCAGGTCTAAAGCGTTCCTATATACTGATGTTCATCATTGCAGATGTACTATCCCACGAGTGATGCTTGCCCCCCCCCTTATTCAAGAACTCTGTAAAACTACAGAAATACATTAAGAATAATATAATAAGCACCCATGTTCCTATAATACAATCATTTATGGGTTGTCCTACTCTTTTTCTTTTCTATTTTAATTCAAAGAAACTATGAATTGCTGATAGAGTTGAGCTCCCTTTGATTAGCACGCAAGCCATGCTTTCCCTCCCTGCACCCACCATACTGATGTATCCCACTCTTTAAAAACAGACCTTAATAACAACACCAACAGCAAATAACCTTACAGCATATGTTTTGAGCCAGGCACCATTCTAGCTGCTTTATAGATAGCAGTCAATAATTAAATCTAATTAATTTAATTATTGATCTATAATATAAAAACCAATTTAATCCTCATAACTTTATAAACCTGGTTCTGTTAGTATCTTTATCTTGAAGATGAGGAAACTGAGGCATGGAGAATAGCTTAAAGGGTAGCTTCAAATCACTTGCCCAGGATTATACATATGTAAGTGGAAGAACCATGATTTGAACCCAGGCAGTCTACTTCCAGAACCTATCAGGGTTTCACTGCCTGTCAAATACTTTTACCTGCAAACACACATACATGCACAATACTATTTTTCTAGTGGTTTTTAAAAACCTACATATATACAATCAGCATGCTTTATTCTGCAATTCTATCCATTTAAACCTTATCTATCCATATGGATACATAGAGTGCTAATTTATTTCTTTTAACTACTGTACAATATTTTGTGGTGAGGCCATGTCATTTATTATTTAGCTGTTCCCTTACTGATGAGCATTTGAGTTGCTAAAGTTTTTCTTAATTATAAATGATACTGCAAAGAGCATTCTTGCACAGAGCTTCTTGGCTGTGAGGAACTTGGCTGTGAGGAAATGTGGAAGAGGGGGTCTAGAATCAACAGGAGCCTCCCTGCAGGGTTCAAATGGGATGGTGAGTTTTTTAGACACTTCTAAGTCATTCTCCAATCTCCAGAGTAGCTATATCACTCCCTTATTTTTTTTCCCAGAGACTCAAATTTCAAAATATGGCCAACAATGTCAATGACATTTTGTCAAATTGGTAGAGGAATTCACAAGTCCACATAATAATATTGAAAACTCAAGGTAATTATCTACGCATAAAAAATAATCTTGAAAGAGGTTTACTCACTTGTTTGTTTCTGGCCTTAACTAGGGTCAGTCAAATGCAGCTGCTAAAGGCACTGGAGCCTGTTCCTTGAATTTTCTACTGACATGAACGGTGCTTTAGGGCAACAGGAAAAACGTTCAGGGAGCCTCCTGAGGGAGGTTCTGCTATTCGGTTTCCCTCAACGGATGCAGAACATCATAGTTCCCTTCCCTCTTCCAAAATATAATAGAGAAAAATCCTTGTTTTCTTTTCTATAATTTTGCAAATAGTCTAAATGACTTCTTTCAAAGCCAGACAATCTTCTCATCAGAGATGACTCAACACTTACACTTTAGCTGTGGATCTCAAGCATTAATTAGTGTAAGAAATCAAATCTTCATTGAGAGCACATTTTCCACAGAAGCCACTAATCTATTGATGAAAGGCTTGTCTCTGAGACTGCAGCCAGTTTGTTCATTCTTTCTTTTGTCCCAATCTACCCTCCTCTGAAGGGGGTGCTCTATGAACTCCAACTTGAAACAAGGTGTTTTGTATGAAATGGCCGGTAACATACCAAATGCATATCTGATCATGGCTGGGCACATTTGTCCACATGCCCTGCCTCTGACCCATCTTGGCACAAGCATTACCTCTCTCATCACAGACATTTTTTATCTGTTTGGTCTTTAAAGAAAGATAACCTGAAAATAGGTTTCCCACACACACACCTTTTCGAGGGGATCCCATTCCTTTCTTAGGGAATTTTCTCAGGGGTGAGGGGCTCACCTTTCATGACTGAGTCTCTGCAGGCTTCCGTGTTGAACCCACAGCACACCTTTATTAATTGGCAGATCAGCAAACAGAGGTCATGGCAAAGGAGTCCAGCCTTTCATTCGCTTTTTCTGAATCCTGCTTGTGCTTTTCTTCAATGCCGAAAACAGTGGTGGCTTTCAGGAGACTGCTTATTTAAGCAGTCCTTCCCTTGTCTCCATCTGGCCGGGATTGTTTTCCGTGAGAGGATCTTTTGACAGCGCCCCTCTTCTTTCTGAAAGTGTTGGCCTCCCAAGACCATCCCTGCCTTTCCCATTCAGATGACGAGCCACAGAAAGAACGTTTGTCAAACTCCGGTGAACAGCTGTAGCATTCAAACATGACCCCGCTGGCTCAGGCTTTTTGATTATTTAATCTGCTTGAAGTCCAGGGCACCAAAATAAAACTGCCTTCTTAATCCGGCTGTGGCTTCTGAATTCTGTTGACTTAGTAACCGTGCTGTGTCAACCCTCGGTGGGTTGGGGGAGGCTTGCCGTGGACCCTGGAGCTAGGGGTCTAGCAACAGAGCCAGCAGAGTGTGTAATATGAGGACAAATTGGCCTGCTGGAGGCTGACACGGTTTCCACAGTGCACTTGTTTGGTCATCGAAGGCTTATTCAGCCAACATCCGTGGGGATTAGCTGTGTTGACAGGGCCTTGATGCCCTGAAATTCATAACCATGGTTCCCTTTAGCGGACATCGTGGTCTATTCTCCCTGGTGCCACAAATACTTCTCAGCTGCTTCTTTGCTTCCCCCTCCTCCCCCTCCTACCACCTCCACCACCACTGAATTGACCTTTTGGTTCATGTGACTTTGGAAATACTTCTCAATCTTTCACCATTTCCCTGATTTTTCACATATAAAACAATAAAGCTGTCCCTGTGAGCAGCGGGTGTCAGTGAACTGTGACTGTTCTCTAATTGAAGCTGTTGGGAACTTTCCCCCTGGGGACTGAAACATGTCTTTGAACGTGCAAATCCCCTGACATTTGCTGTGCTGGGAATGCCTAAAGCTGCCCTTCAACATGCTGGATGCTCTGTGTGGCCAGTGACTACTTGTAGAAGGAAACACGTGCTTTTCTTGAGGTAGTGTGGACTCCCTGGCCTCAGGCAGGATAATAGGGCAGCTGAGTCTGGATTTGAATCTGGCTTCTTCATTCACCAGCTCCATGTCTCTGGGCAAGTGACTTGCACCCTAGGATCCTGAAATCCTCAGAGAGTAATGGGATAATAGGGGTCCTTGCTTGACAAGATTGTTCCAGAGTTAAATGAAGGAATACATGTCATGGCCCAGAGTGCCTTAATAGATGTGCACAAGTACCCAGGAGAATGTCTCCCAGGACCTTCATGCTGCTGGCTTTCAACAGCTGACCTTGACTTGACTGGTGGAGGGAGGTTCTGATGAAAGAGCTAGAGCCCTGGCCCCTCAGGCCACTCTGGTGCTACCAAGGGAAGAGACCCTTTGTGAATGAAGTTGAGAAATTGCATTGGGACTGTCCCTAATAGCCTGTTCTTTGGGATCCTTCTTCTCCTTTAGCCAAGCCCGTTCTGTCCCAGAGAACCCAGTGTTCTGATCGTGCACTTCCTGAAAAATCTGCTTTACTCGGCTGTCATCTTTTTACCTCCAACATTGTTGAGCATGGGAGAGACAGCGGGGCGGGGGAGGGGGGGGAAGACAGGTGTAGGCTACAGGGAGCCATTTAAATCTTAACAGGGGCTAAACGGGTCCATCCTTCCTCTTTTCCTCCACACCATCTGGTCTATTTTCAGGTGCAGAGAACTTAATAATAATCATTCCTTGATGATCCATGACTATGGATGGCTCTTATGTAGCCTTCAGTAATTAATTGATCATAATATAACAAGCACCTGTAAACTTAACACTCACTGTAAGAACTAGAAAGTTCCCAATAACACATATCAACGTGTGTGCCTCTGTCTTTTCCAGGGGTCAACAAACATTTTTTGTAAAGGGCTTGATAGTAATGGAGAGTGTTACAGTCTTTGTCATAACCACTCCACTCAGATGTAGCGAGAAGCCAGCAACAGACAATTCATAAGAAAGGATGTGCCTGTGCTCCAATAAAACCATATTTACAGAAACAAGTGGAGCGCTGGATCACCCCATAGGGCACAGTTTGTAAACCCTGCTCTAGCTCATTCTGTCACCCTTGCTGTCACTGCTCCACCATCACCTGTCCCCACCCCCAACTTCTTCCACCCAGCCGGACATGTCCATCATCTTCCTCCTCATCTATACAATGAGGAATTTGAATAGGATGATCTTTATGGCCCTGTTACATGTAAATGCTTATTGTTATGGTCAGAATGCCTGAGTAAACTTGAAAGGCCCTGTATTTAGACTTTAGGGGGTGTTGAACAAACAGAACTTGAGCATCTCTTTGGGATAGCAGAACTTTTTAGCTATGTTCTGCAGGACCCAACTCGGTCTATATCTTGAGGACTTAGAATCCTGAAAAACATAAACTCACTGACAGCACAGCTGGTGTAGGAGTCCAAGACACCTGCAGGTAACTTCAGACAACCAGGGGCATCTGCAGTTAAGGCCGAACTGGTGGCTAAGTGAGGGTGCACACTTTCATGTTGCTTATACCCTAAAACTGCATGGCCTTAGGCTACGACAGAATCTCTCTGAGCCTTAGTTCCTCATCTGTAGGATACAGATAATACCTACCTCATAGGATCCAGAAAGGATCAAGTGATATACGTTAAGTGCACATCATAGACCTGGTAGAGACCTGCAAAGCAAATGATCAAAGTGGCATTTCTCATTAGCAGGGTGTATTCTTGGACCTCAAAGAGTCTGGACTGATTGCTCCCACCTAAAATGTGAATACCCTGGGAACACACAGAAAACCCCCACAGCTATGGGTTCCTGGGAGCAGTGACTTACTACTCAAAGGAGTTCTCTGGTTCTCTTTTGCTCCTGCTGACTCTAACTGTTGATTTTAAAATGGGCAGTGCACACTCAGACAGTGAAGGACTTTGAATGCAGAGGCTGAATGATTTATTCCATCTGACCTCAGCCCAGAGAACAAAGGTAGGGTGTGCGATCAGCATGCTAATGCCTGCAGCATCTTCCTTCCCTCCCTCCCTCAGTGAACCAGATCCCAGAAGTGCAAGTCAATGTTGCACACATAAGAATGACCAGAGACAGATGCCAAATATCAGGTCAGGCCAAGCCACACCCCAGAGGTGCTTCTGGTACCAAGACCTAGTCAAGAACCTAGTTCCCCATGCAGAAACTTGCTTCAGAAACACCCTCGGAGATTGTTGTTACTGTCACACTGAGATTTCAAGAATTTCCTAGCTTCTGTATATTTCTGATACATATGTATAATATATACACATATATTTTTTTGTATTTTGTTCATGTACTTTGTTATTCAGAATGTTTCTTAACATAAAGTATTTAACATTTCACTTCCCTCCAAAAAAATCAGCAATTACTAACTCTTAAAGTTAATTAGGTCTTAAAATTCAGCAAAAAGCTTTTTCTCCCAGGTAGTGATATACAGCTATTTTAAAAGAGTTAGAGTTAAAAAATATGTTAGAGTTAAAAATATTCACCTGGGAGGATACTCAGAATAAGTTGTTAGGTTAAATAAAGCAATTTGAATGGGGAATGCATGTTGTGCCATCCCATTTGTGTTAAGGAAAGAAAGTCACTGGTGGGGTTATAGCCCTAAAAAATGTGCATCGGTTTGTCTGAGATAAAATAGCCTGATCACCCGTGGGGGCAGGGAAAATTTAGAAGAAGAAAGGAAAATTACATTTTTCTGCTTCCACCTCTGCATATTCAACTTGCTGCAACAAACATGTATTCCAGCTATAATTTTAAAAACACAAGGAAGAAAAGCTGGCTTTTGTTAAGTAGCAAGTAAAGGTTATTTTGTTTACTGGACGATTTAAAATGACTTATTTTCCAGTGACTTTCTGAGTTATATAGTTACATATAGCATTGCTACAGTTTACCTCCTCTCACTTCACAAGGATTAGCCCTAAAGGTGACATCTGTCTTTCTCTGCCAAGTGATCTCGGCATGTGACCAAACCATACAATGCATATGAATGTTTCTTCCAGTTTTATCATCTGCTTTGGTAAAATTCTGGCAAAGTACTCCCCCATTCCTGTCAGTGGGCCCCCATCCAAAGCAGGTGCTGTGATGATCCAATTCAAGGGGGGCAGCCACGCTGAGGGAGAACTGCAGCCCAGGATTGTAGGAAGGAAGCCCTTGGCTCCACCGATCCAAGCAGAAATGTTATTTGGTTGAGAAGGAAATACGGTATTTCCCTAGGAATTGTGGATGCACAAACAGCACCCAGGTACACAATTTAGAAAGAGCTACTTAAAAGGCCTCAGTATCATTTCCTTCCTTCCTTCCTTCCTTCCTTCCTTCCTTCCTTCCTTCCTTCCTTCCTTCCTTCCTTCCTTCCTTCCTTCCCTCCCTCCCTCCCTCTTTGGTTATATAAAACATATGGCAAGAAAACTAGGAATTTGTTTTAAATGTAAATTATATCATTATTTAGTGCTTGCAGTGGGCCAGACATTGTTAAGGATTTGTATTAGTTAAAGTAATGTAACTGCTATAACAAATAAACCTCAAATCTCAGTGGCTTAGCATGACAGCAGCTTACTTACTGCCTTGAACACAGTGCAGTTCAGGTTGGTGAGGGCCGGGCTCCATGCAGTCACTCACGAACCTGGCTCCTTCCATCTCATTGCTTTGTCCCCCCCATAGTTCTCAGAGTCCTTCTATCAGCAGGCTCAGAGGGGAAGAAGATGGGATCGGGCATGGGCCAGGCCTGGAGATGGTATTTATCCCTGCTTATATTTCGTTGGCTAGAATTAAATCACATGACTGTATTTAACTGCAAGGGAGTCTGTGAAATATAGTCTAGCTAAGTGCTGTTCACTAGTCTGTAAGTTTATGATGGTTTCTTATATTTTTCCCATTGTTTCTATAATACCATGTAGTAAGTTCATTAAATAAATGCTGAATGAATGAATGAATAACAGGCATAGAAAAATTAAGTAACTTGCCCAAAGTCTTCAGCATATTTATTGTAAACACATGGATTGTGAGTACCCATGTTAGGTACAATTTCAGGGAACCTATAGTTTTATATTTTATGTCTTGAGGTCCTTTTTCTAAAATAAAATTCATTCTGTATGACAGTAAGATTTAAATTTAATTATCTGGAAGCTCTAGCTAACTAAGGAGAACACACTTTCCTTCTGAGCAGTTAGTTCAGTGGAGAATCAAGGCTGCCCTACAATTTCTGTAGTGAAGGTGGGGAGGGCATGTGCACCTCCTCATTCTCA